CAAGCGCCTCAACAGGAGAAATCTGTGAATTAGGGGTAGATTTACCAGCCAACACATATTTTCGCTGGGTAGTCCCCATGGATTTTCCTTTTCCTTTCTCCCCCCAGTATGTATATTGTTGCATCCAATAGTCGAGTGACCGAACACTTTACAAGAACCACAAATTTTTGGTTCATGCTCAAAGACGATTTCTTGTTCCATCAACGTGCTATTTGGGAGCCTAATCTTTACGTCCCTCACAAGTTCAATGGAAGCATCAACTTCAACTATAGCTCTTGCAAAAGATAGTTGACCTCTTGTAGCCGTGATTTTGTCGATTGAGATAGGTCTCCAAACCTTTGAGACAATTTTACCCAAAGCATTCGTGTTCCAAAATTTCAAGGGCAACCCCGGTAGGTTTATCCATACCGGCATAGTGCTTACGTCTTTATCATTGAAATCAAAATAGCGTGGCATGATTTTTAGCATAACGGTCTCCCGTAAACCAAGTATGGACCTCCATGCAACACACTTAATCTATCCACATCCGTTTCGAATTTGAACACTAACCAACCACTAGCGTGTATAAAATATTCATAATCCACCTTTCACAAGTCACAAAGTTGGAGAAGAGCCACTTTCCCCGGAAATCGATCTACGAAATATCCAACAAGCCCATATCCCTAAGAATTCTCAATGTTATCTTCGTCACATTCACCCAACACAACCTCATCCGATTGGTTATGGAAAGGTTTTAACATGATATTTTCCTCCAATTTCCAATTATCTTTAAAAAGATTAACCCATGGGGTTTTTTTTTCCAATAACCCCATCAATACCGGTATCCTTTTCATTACTTTGATTCATCAATTTTACTGAATTTGATTCAAAGTCAGATTGCTCAAAATCTGTATCCTCCTCACCAAGAGTTAAAGAAACACTTGGTGACGGTAAATTAACCAACTTATGCTCCACCGAATTAAGCTTCAAAGGTGAAATGACACTATCCTCAGTAGGAAGCAGCTAAACAGACTTGGAATTAAGAGGAGGAAGCCGAGAATTGATCTTCTTTTTACCCATAGTCACTCACAAGTTACAAAGAGCCCAAACTGGCTAAGAGGACCCAAAAGAAAGTTCCAAAAATAGTGTCCAGCAAGAAAAAGAACAGCCTAGCAAAACACAAAATCGGCCGAAGTGGAGAAGACCAAAGCTGTGAATCCAGCAACTCATAATAAGTCCAGTAGCCCAGAAATAAAATAGCCCAAACAATAACAGGCCAGCCAGGAAGAAACCGGGTCAACAACAGCCCAAAAGCACAAGAATATTCAGACAAATTAATGCCAAAACATGCAAGCACAGAGGAAGAAGCTGCAAGAAACCCAAAGATAGCAGAAGGCAGTCCACCAACCACATCCAACGTCAGATAGCAAAAAGGTAGAAGAGTGAACCAAGGACCAAGAATTCAAAATATGACAACCAGCAGCATGCATACACAATACATACACGTATGAAACTGAAGAACACCAAGATGAACACAGCAAAGGAGATGGAAGATATCAAGAAAAAATACAGCAGATACAAAAAAGAAGCAGAGCAGCCGCAAGCAGAAACGAAGGAACAAAATAGGCTGGTCGAAACTGAAAGTGGAATTAAGCACCCTCAAAGCTGTGAACCTGGACCAACACTATCCAAGATAGGAAAACCAAAAGACACCCAGGCAAGGTGACCACTGAATCAGAAAACTGAAAACCAAGATGCTACTAAAACCAGAAGAAGACCACAGCTAAGAAAGAGCAACCACACAGCAACAGAAATCCAAACCTGGTCCAGAACAAATCTTGAACAAGAAAAGTCCAAGAAAAACACTGAAATACCCACCTTGAAGAAGACGAGCACTAGACCACAAACAAGCTGGAGCTAAAACCCACACAAGAAGTAGAAACCTGAATATGGGCCTTTGCAATGGAAGTCGAAGAAAACCAAACAACAGACCAGATTAACTACAAAACAATGCAAATGTGGACCTTAAAATGAATTAAACCAGAATGTTAAAGTCAATTCCCACCAAGAAGAAGTAGAAATCAAGTTTAACACAAGAAAATTCACAAGAACTCTCTCAAGGCAAGTGTGCACCAAGTGGGACTTTCTCTCACTAGGTTGAGAGCATCTCTCTCTAACTCACTTGATTGGTAAAGTGTCATGAATGCTTATTTCATTCTATAAGCGGAGGAGAGAGAAGTTTTCAAGTAACCCCCAAACAAGCTCACTGTCTACATTCATTCAACAGAGTAGCATTCAGGCAAGAATTCAAAAAGTAACAGTGATAATCAAGACATGTCAGCATATACTGTCTAAGAATGCATCTGAGTATCATTCTTCAGGCAGAATCCAGGACTGGAAAACATAAACAAATCGGATACAATATCTAATAGAACTCAGAACAATCAGCATTCTGACCCTCATGTATGATGTAAATGACTTCCACGAAAGCGAAAATGACCATACCAAAATATGGAGAAAAATTGATCCCAACACAGCTCCCAAGACGACTTGGCTAATTGTATGGAATTGTTACGAAATCCATAGCCATGACTGCAGGCAAAGACACCAGAAAATAGGCAAGGATAATGAAGAATACTATAATTGTTGGAAAGATTTTCCGTTTCTGAGAATCATGACTTCGAGTCGGAGAATCTTAAAAAGTAACTTATTTTTTGGCGTATCTAAATAAACAAGTGATTATAAATTATTTGATAATTCTACTAGAAAATAGGGCTTGGATTTTTGTTCACAATTATTGAGTATTCCCGAAATGGGTACGACGGAAGAGGTGGAGTTTGAGTACTTTGTTTGAAGAATTGCTTGAAGAATAATTCCCTGTATTGGAATTTGTGTCAAGGTGGATATTATTGAAGAATGACCCAAATTCCTATTGGAATTAGTATTAGGTTGGTTAATTGATAAAAGGAACAAGAGTCTTCTTGGTTCGAAGACCCAGTTGAAAAAGGGGATCAAAGTTCATCAAGGATTGAAAGTTTGATTGGTAAAAGAAATTTAGATAATTGAAGAGTTGGTTTTGGAGCTTTGAATTAGAGCCTATATGCTGATTCGGGGTCCCTAGGTGTCCATAATGGAAGAAACGGTGGAATTTGGCCCGAGAAGTCCGTCCCAGCATTACAGTCCTGCGTTCAAGTGCCGCGATCGTCGCTCAAGTCCGGCCAAAGTTCTTTTTCGATTCTGAGTTTGTGAATTATATTTCATCCAAAACACTTGTATTGAGCTCCTATATAAACTCCATGTGATTTAGCCTTGAGATAAGATAGCAAAACATTGTATAGCATTGAGAGAACATCAAAGTGAGATGATCTAGTTTACAGAGAGAGAGAGTCGCATATTTTGAGATAGATTGAATCTTGTGGGATCTTTTTGTATTTCTTTGCTATTGATTATAATGAATTCTTCGCCTTTACTCATGGGTTTTCCGGATTTGGATTTTCACGTTAAATCTTGTGTTCTCGTATGATTCTTTTCATCTTGTCATATTTTCTCTGCTTAATATTCACAACAAGTGGTATAAGTTTTATCACCAAGCTATTGCAAATTAGCTTGTTTTCTAAAAATACTAATGATGCGAACGGAAAAGTTAATAGACCTTCAAGATACAATAGTGCCTGAATATATTACTTGTTGTGTTTACTGAAAAAAAATAAAAAAAATAAAAAAAATTGAACACTGTATAAGAAACTAGTTATCTTACTCGCATTGCACATTTTTATGCACACGGATAGAAGACATACAAGGATAAACCACCCTCTTTTGCCATTTCTAATCGGGATGTCCGGCTTTCTTGGTATTGTGGTTTTATTTGTATAACTTTAAATTGATTAAGCCATCCATGAGCACTAATGCCTACATTTTATCCCCATTTGCCACACCACCTCGACATTCTTCCTGCCAATTTTGTCGCTGTAGTGCTTATGCTGTTCAAAAATAGAAGTTTTATCATTTACGTGTTAACTTTTTAAAGAGTAACGTTGTCCACATCCACACAATTACTACTAATTTATACATCACTATTTAAAATTTAAATCGTATATAAATATTTATTCGTGGAAAAAAGTTACACATTGCTTACTTGTGTATTCAAATTGTTACCTATCATCAATGTAACAAAATTCGTTAATCCCACCTGATGGAAATGTCCACATGTTCGATGGAATTCAACATGACACGTTTATCTCATTAACTATATAGGATTAAAAAAAGTCATATATATTGTCACTAAACTTTTGGGTGATTCTGATTTAAATTTTCTTTTGGTACGTTTTAATCCTAGGTTATCGTAGTTAACAAGGTAAGCGTGCCATTTATCAATTATGTTGGATACGTGGATATTTTCGTTAAGTGGAGTAATGAATTTCGATATTTTGAATAATGAATAACTTTTTTATTAAGTAAGTAAATAATAACCTAGACAAAAGTTTAATCGACATTCAATTAATTAATTCTTCAAATGAATATCCTACTTGAAAATAATGATATTTATAAACTTCAACTAAGTACTTTTATATGTAACTATGTACTTTTATATGTAAATGACAACCCAATTTTAAGTAGCCAGTATGATTTGATTCACCTTTATAACTCCGACAGGAGCCATGTCTTAGATAGGACAACAATATTGAGTTCGAATCTACTGTCCTGTAGAACAACAATATTGAGCCATGTCTTAGATAGGACAACAATATTGAGTTTAAATTTTAGAACCACAATTCAACAACTTTTGTAAGCAAATAGCAAAATACCACGATAAACTACAAGTGACTCACTTTTAAAATGACGTCTCGCTATTTGTTAACAAGAATTGATATGGTGAGGTGTCAAAATTTTAGTGAAAGACCGCAGAAAGATTGGATTTCCGTACTACAATAGGAATGTGATATTTCATTAGCACTTGCCTGTTGCTTCACTTTGGCATGAGAAGCTCTAATTTTCATTGGTCAGATATTTTAAATAATGCCTTTTTTTGCCCCACAAGTAAAATCAGCTTTCCATTAGATATGAAGGCACACATATTTAGTACATTGGAGTGGTGTGGACATAACACATGCAAAACAAGCATCTCTGCATATACTGTCTAAGAATGGATCTGAGTATCATTCATCAGGCAGAATCCAAGACTGGAAAACATAAACCAGAAATTTGATGCAAAATCCAATAGAACATAGAACAATCAGCACTCTAACCCACAAGTAGGATGTAAATGACTTCAACACAAAAGCATTCCATGACCAGTACCAAAATATTGAGAAAATCGACCCCAACACAGCTCCCACGACGACTTGGCTAGTTGTATGGAATTTTTGCGAAATCCGAAGCCATGACTGCAGGCAAAGACACCCGAAAATTAGCAACAGTATTCCTACACATTTTGGAAAGATACTCTGTTTTCGAGAATCATGATTTCAAGTCGAAGAATCTTAAAAAGGAACTCATTTTTTGGTGTGTCTAAATAAATAAGTGATAATATATTATCTGTATAGATGAAAACTTAGAATGTGGGTTAACTTGTGAAACCATGAGCATGTTTAGTACATAGTTGCAAAATGACTAGAAATAACATGATGGCACAATATCAAAAAACGAAAAGAAATTCAAATCATTACTATTGTTCAATCTACTTATGTCCAATGATATGTACTAAACATGCACTAAATAGACATGTCGTGATATTAAGGACGGGCAGAGAGCCCGCACCCATCCAATGCATGAAATTATATTTTGCCCCTTATTTTTCTAGTCACTAACGAATAAGACATTACAGAGATTCATTCCACCCTTCCAACACATTTTTGACCCGACAACAACAGAAACAAGAAGCTAAGTATTGTTCAAAATAAACTCGGGGTTGGTAAGAAATCCTTTCGCACCATTCCATTCGATCCAAGCTACAAACAACTTCCAATAAAATCAAATCTTTTGCAAGCACATTAGACAATGTTAATTTCAGTTTACCTCGGACAAGTCTTGTGAATGGGAGTTTTTTATGTTAACAAAAAGATGCCGATCAAATTACAATCTGTCCCAGTTATGGAAATTTTAATGCTAGAATGTGAATTAAAACGCTTGTTGTGAATCCCTTGTTCAGTCCTCTCAATTAAAGTGTGGAATTGTATAAAATTTCTTAATTTGAAGTCTTTTAAACCGAATTTTAATCTAGATGGTAATTCGACTGAATAGACCAGCAAGTATTACAAACTGATAATCTAAAATGATACCACACAAGAAGCATGAATTTAACTGCTGTATACTTACAAAATAAGATCCAAATATAAAGACAAGTCCACACAGGGTTGTCGAAAGTGCATTAATCCCGTAAAATTCCAGAACTGCAATGAACAGAGGAACTGAGATTCAACATCAAAATAGAAAGATTGCATGAGCCCTGAGCAGAAAAATGGTTTGCCTGGCGAACAAACAAGAGTGAACAAAAATGCTATGCCTTATCCCTAATATGAAATATTCACCATTCCATGTGATATGTTACTTCTACAGAGGTTCAACGGACTTTATCTGATTGCTGAGCAGAAGCAAAAATTAAGCAACAATCAACAGTTGAATGAATTTAAAAGTTATTAATTAAAGCTAAATGTATTGTAAGTCGATCAAATGGTTTTCCACAACAAGAAAAGGCACAACACTCAGAAGTATAATTAGCAATGATGGCAGGAGCATTCAAACAAGGGACAAGATGATTGGGGGGAAGGGATACATAAAACAAACGACCCATCAAATAACAGAAAAAAGTCAAAGAAAGTCAAAGGTTTTTGTAAGATAACGAAGGTGGAAAACTGTGAAGAATACATGCGTATGGGTAAAGAATCATCACAATAACAACTAGCAAATAAAGTTAGCTTAGAATCCTTGTTACATAATAAAGAGAGTGTAAACTTCAAATAGAAAAAGATGAGTAATTCTATTTAGCATCACTAGTGCTACGACACGAGTTTAGATGGAAGAATACAATAGGCCCAATTAAATGCAAGAATATGGAACCACTCAATTGAACCTTTTTTTTTTTTAATGATCGTGTGTGTCCGCGCCAGCTTAAGCACACCTCGACTAATCCGATGGGGACCTGAAATTTACAGTAGGAAACTCACCACAGTGGCTCTGAGGGACTTGAATTGGTGATCGTTGGAGAGCAAATCCAAGACCTGCTCACTGAGTTATCCCTCAAGGTTACCACTTATCATATTCTTCCATATAAACTTGTGTTCTAAAATCACTAGTGTTAGATAACATTATTCTTGACATTTGGTAAGAGTTACTTTCAAAATAAGTAACTTTCTGAACTTTTTTTAATCTTAGCCAAACATGTTATGTATCTTAACATCTTTTGATATGAGAAAAGTTAACAAAGATTGAGAATGGTTCGAAAAGGTTACTTGACAAATTAACGAATGCAACTGCATAGAACATGAACTGTGCATGCGAAGATGGCATTCCAGGGTCTGCCTTTAAGGTAGAAATAGGCCTCGCTTGGTTTAATATCATCTTCAGAGCGATTGCAAGTATACCATTAAGCGAAACACCTATAACAGCCCATAATGTTCCAGGATCATGCCTCCAGATGAGAGTCATAAAAAGCACCGCCACAAGCCACTTACTCTGCATCAATGGCAATCGGTCAGTGAAAATCTTAACGAAAACAAACTATTTGAAAATATTTATTCCAGTAGCCGTTAAAGAATTATTTGATCTTATAATATAATCAATTTTGGGCCAAATATCCTGAAGCACTCGTTTGGCAACATAAACCCAATAATTATTCTTCTTTTCTTTTTATTTGTGGGCGTGTGTCCCCTTTTTCAAACGAGTGCTAATTCCATTTGCAAAGAGAATTACACATTTCAATCGAAGTAGAGGAACCAAGTTTTTCCCTCGGGGTTTTCTTAAGTGCAATGCATACCACAATTACTTTTCAACTAACTATTTTTTTTTCTTTTTATATTTCAAACAATATTATAACTTAAGTTCCCAATCAAATCAGGAATCTACTGAACAATGCATAATCAACTCATGCACAGATATTCAACAGATTTTATATTAATCAAAAATGGAAATTTTTACTCACCAAATTATTGAGGGTAGCTTCGATTCCACCAGTCTCAAAATTTGAAGCCCTGTTAATGAAATTTTCTTGTTCAAAAGATTCAACATCCTCCTCAGTTGAACTAGTATCAGCATTCCTAATCGAACCAACCCTGGAATTTTGACTCTGGCCAGTACAAACCCATTTCTGGGAATTGAATGCCAGTTTCGTTGTGAAAATCGTAATGGGCTTATGAAATGCTCTTGATTGGGACGTAATAGCAGTAGCAGTGGGTCTGATGACAGTAGCAGAGGTAAGTAACATTTTTATCGGTGTCGTTTATCGGTTTGTAATTCAGAAGCAGAAATCTGTAAGGACTGAGAACCGTACATATCAGAAAACACGCACTGTTTGGTGAAGGGGCAGGCTGCAAGATGGCAATATAGTCGCCAAGTCAAACTGCGGGACGGATGATCAGCCAGGGAGCGAGAGATCCAAGAATGGCATTATTATTATTGAGGGAAATTGCAATAGTGGTCTCTAATCTTTCACTTTTTGTAAAATTTACCCTGATCTTCATTTTGTGTCAATTACAGTCCCAAACCTTTCCAAAATATGTATCTAGGGTCCAAATAGATGAAGACATCCATTTGACTGTTAGTTGATCTAGAATATATAAAAATTGGATATTTTGACCGTTTTAAATCGGGGAATTTTCGTCAATCTCATAATAATTTCATATTCGTCAATAAAAATACACTTCTAAAATAAGGAATAACTAAATAAAAAAATAAAATAAAAAAAATCAAACCTTATCTTCTACACGCCACCCCCACCTCAACCCCATCCCCAAACCCAAAATCCAACCAAAAAATGGACGGAAAACTCACCGCCGCCACTACTATCGCCACCACCACCAACCAAAACCCATGGTACCAATAGATGCGACTTGATGAGGCAGATCTAAGACAGGTGGTCCGTTATAGTGGGTTGCACTGCGAGTTCGGTGGCGCTGAGACAGATGACGATCCTGGTACTACATAATGAGAGAATCTTTGCCTTTCTGATGTCAAAACAGAAATTCTAAGATTCTACCAAAGCCCACTGGTCAGTACCGTCAGCACTGAAATTGACATTTGGTAGGTTTGAGTTCGCTGTTTGAAAAATTGACTATAGATTTGGATTTACTACTTTGTTTTGATGTTACAAAGGTATCAAAAGGTGCATATTGAGCTGCTTTGTCGACTTGGAAGGTGGGTTTGGCATGGGTGTAGGTGGAGGTGAGGATTCTGTCCATTTTTGGGGTGTGTCATCCTGTTTTGGGACTAAATTTCTACCAAATTCGTCGGAGTTGTGGCTGGTGGTTAAGTGGGTTATGAAGAAGGAAAGTGAATGCTTTCAATGGTATGGATATCCGGTGGTTTGGGCGGCAGTTGGTCGATGTTTAAGTGATTCAAAGTAGGCCTAAATGTAGGTGTGGGTGTGACAATGGGTGTGGTGGCGAGTTTTCTGATTTTGGATTCGGTTTTGGGACAGGCATGGAGGTAGGGGTGAAGAACATAAGTTTGATTTTTTTTTTTTATTTAGTTATTCTTTATTTTATAACTGTAATTTTATTGAAAAATATAAAGTTATTATTAGATTGACGAAAATGCCCCTACTTAAAATGGTCAAAATATCCAACTTTTACATATTTTAGGTCAACTAGGGGTACATTCATTTGGACCCCATATGCATATTTTTGAAAGTTTGGGACTGTAGGTAGCACAAAATAAATTTTAGGATAGAGTTTGTAAAAAAGTGAAAGGTTAAGGACCGGGACTACAATTTTCCCTTATTTTTCTTTGGCATGTCCAATTCATGCTTCAAATAATCTGTTGACTGTTTCAATATTGAACAACTTCAAATAATCTCGACTGTTTCAATATTGAACACAAGTTGTTCACTGTCCGTTTAAATTGGTCAAGCCTTTCCTATTAAAATATGAGGCCATTTCCAACTATTTGCATTAAATTTATGAAATTTTTATATCAAATTGGAATAAATTTCATATAATTTTATAAAGTCATTTTCAACCCTTATACCTAAGCCTTAGGCACGGATTGGTCCAGATCGATTTCGAGTCTAACAACACCCGAAACCAAAACCAAATTAGTCAACCCACTCTAACTCTTAAAACGAACCACTTTGATTTGGTTTATCAGTTTGGACTTTTAGCCTAAATTGAATTTTAAAAAAATGCCCGAGTTTTGGGCCCACTTAAATTATAAGAACTAATATAATTAAATAATTTTATATTAGAAAAACTATTGACTAAAAAATAAAATCAAGTTAATAGAGATAGATCAGCATAAAATTTAAGAATTTTGTTGCTTTTTATGCATTATGTAGCATGTCTGTTTGAGTAAGAAAAAAAGGCTAAGTATAACATAATGAGCTTGTGAAATGAAATTTACAGTGTTATTACTTACTGACAACATCATAAATTGGAGAGAATCGAGATATAATTATGAAATTAAGGCTTATCTTTTAATTTTTATTTTAACAAAGGTAAATATGTAAGTGGGTTGTGCTTGTTCGGTTAATCAGAAGTCTGAGATTTCAAATTATGGTTGAACCGGCCCATCATAATTTTATTTAAAAAAAAAAAAACCAAACCAATTAGCAATGTCAAACCAACTAGAATCGGTTCAGTTTGATTGATTTATTTGATTTTTACGTTCAGGCCTACTTTATACTCATTATTATACCAAATGAACATTTTTCCTTTATTTTCCAATTTTAAATTCTTAACAAATAATTTTATTTCAAAAATTATATTTAATTAACAAAAATTTTACATTTATTAATAAATAAATGAAGCAGTACACTTAATACCATGATTAAAAAATAATAAAGTTGAAATAAATAATTAAATACTAATTAAAAATAATAATCAAATTAAAATAAATATAAGCATATCATGAAAAACTCTAAAAATCACAATGCACTATTCATTTGTACCAAACTGATATAGAATTTTACTATATTATTGAGGTGGATTTTTGCACCAAATTGATGTTTTACGATGACTTGGTGCATGGTTAGAGATACCTTGGGAAGGTGAAAATGTAAGAAAGTCGCCGGCCTTAGACACCAGAAAATTTTGGATTTTATTGCAAAATAGTCTCCATCTTTGAACCTTAACTAGTGATGTGGTAGATTTTGATTGCGGGTTTGGGATCATGATAGAATAAAATTTGATTGTGACAAAATTGATATAAGCATCGCTGTTTTGGATATTTTAAACGGCCTAACTGGATTGGCTGGATCTGCATTTAGAAGTGGCGGATGAGGTGAGGTGGGGTGGGGTGAGAAGATTAGTGAATATAACTCCTTAATTGTATGATATGTAATCTATTAATTGTGTAATTTGTGATTTAATATATGATTGTAATCCATAAATTGTATAATACGTGAATGTGAACTTGTGTAATTTGTGACTTAGTACGCGACTATGACCAATGAATTGTGTGACATGTGATTATTGTTTTTGTGAAACGCATAGGCGTACGAAATCGTTGACAAGTAATAATGAAGTGAGTTATGAGTTATCGTCCTATGAAGAATAATGTTTAATTTTAATTTACTAGTTACTATTAAATATGATGTTCGTGACACAAAAGATGTGATTCTGTTGTTATTCAAACTAATTCTAAACTAAGGAAGCAATAAAAATTGTTTTATCAAATATGTGAATAATTGTATTGGATTTTGAATCCCCCTATTATCATTTATTTTAATTCTTGATTCGTAATATAGTCAATTCATGCTTTCGTGACAATCGATAATACAAATGTATTTAATTTTCTTTTTTAAGAGAAATTAAGTCTATTCTAATCACAACCCAATTTTATTCCTAGTTCGAATTCATTCGATGAAAATGCATTAAATTATAGGTTACCTATGTGATTGCATATATGATAAAGATTATTCATAATTCTATCTACATATGTTAATTTTGCCGCGTTCTAAATTTATTGTGAGTCTCTCAACACTACAACAAAAAACTAATTATTCAATTGGTGGCCAATCAATTAAATAACACAATGAATATGCAAAATTAATTAAGAATTATAAGAATTAAACTAAGTTACTTGTCTTGAATTAAAAATAAATAAACAATAGGGTCCATCTCATTCAATACGTGAAAGGAATTAGCTTCATGTAACGTTGAAATTAAACAAATAAAACTTGGAAGATATCACCAAAAATTTATGGGAGGTGATTAATTCCACGCTTTCTCTTGACTTCTGCTCGCGTTTGATATAAATATCAATTCCAGGCGGCCAATGTTCTTTCTTTTCTTTCCCCCAGCAGCCGTCTCTTTTGCGTGTATATCTATAATTAATTTTATTTCTTCCTCCAAAGCTGCTGCCCAGTTTTAATGTGTATATATTATTAGTGCAGCCTCCTAATTTGACTAGAAAAAGAACTCCAATTTTTCTCGCACTTCCTGCCGGCAGTCCTTGTTTTACTTGAAAACAGCCCCCACGACACAACTTCAAGTGGTAAAAAGGGAGGGTAGAGAAATTCAGTTTTGTTTGAGGCTGTCACGTCAAGGGTTCGAATCCTGAAATATGGATTTGGCTCTTGGGTAAGTGCAAGTGTACAAGTAACCTTCTACCCTGTATCCTTAGAGGCATAATCTGCGATTTACCTCCCTTACGATACTCCAGGATAAGAACGGTGGGAGACCCTTAAGGTTGGGGTTCAACCTTTTTTTTGTTTTACTTGAAAACAAATTCTCCTCCTCCTATTGGCAGCCAACTTGCATATGTGACGTGTGTAAAATAAAATCTCAGGAAGCAGCCCTTTTTCTCAAACTTGTGAGGCCCAGTTATACCTGTTTTTTTCCAGCCGCCAATTGGTAAGTGGAAAGGACTCTAATTCAAAGCCATTAAGTCTATATTATCCTTCAAGTCTTTAGTCCTTCGAGATAATGAAATTCAGTCATTGAGTTTTTTTTTATTCTAGCAACCCAAGTATTCTTCGATTCAATTCATGTCCTTCACCTTTCAAAGTATGAAATTTGATTTCTAAACTTTGCATCAAAAAGCCAATTTAGTTTGCATACTTTGGATGTTGCCATTTTTCGTCACTTTTTGCTTTTTTTCCTTCAATTCCTTTTCATTCATAGAGTTTTACCTATTAAACGTAAAATACAAAAATTTAGGATATCTTTTGTCAAAAGAACTATCAAATACTGTTATTTTAGACACCAAATAAGTGTATAAAATACACTTATCAATTATCATATGTCGCAAAATTTATCATCTGTCACAGTTATGACCACTTGGTTTTTTATTTTTTTATTTTTACAAGTTTATTAATTTCGAATTTGTACTCTTAAATATTTGTATTTATGAAATTTTCTCCTTATATATATGCACCTGTTTGATTTAGCTAAAAATGATATTTTTCATAGATTTTAATAAAAGTTGATAAAATATATGGTAGAAAAATTGATAAAAGGTGTGAATCCTATGAAATATGTTATTAAAATTAATTATTTACTTTGATTTAGATTTTTATTAATTTTTCTAGCTAAATTAAATAGGAATATAAATTTGTTATTTTGTTTTATTTTATTTAGTATATGTGTTTTTAGGCATATTATTTCTAGCGGTTCTGTCCCTTCGACTCCCTTCAGACACAACTTTCTAACATCATATATTGGCCTTTTCATTTATAGAATTTATTCACTTCACCCCTCCACTATCATACTTCTGAATTTTACGTCCAAAATAAATATTGCATACATTTTGAGTCCTTACACCCCCACCCCCCAAATAAGGAGATTTCTAAACATTAATCAATTCACTATCCTTCGTAATTTAAGAGTGCTCCTATTATAGGACCTGATTGTTGTACTTTGAGGTGAGAGTGTTGAAGTCTATCGCCACATGTGCAAGGCATTATCTTAAAGAGAAAAGTGCAACTCATCTTGACCATCTTCTAATTTTTTCGCAAATATCTATCTCCTATTCTTTTGTATTTATTAAGTACATTCAGTAAATCGTAAGTCGTCACCAAGTTCATTTGTATGCATTAACTTGCACCAATTTTAAACAACACTTGTTTGATACTTTAGTTGAGATGCAACGCTATAATTAATTATTTGTGACTTTCTCTTGTTAGACTATTTAAATATTGAAATTTTTCCTTTCTTCAAAGGTAACATCCACCCTTTGTTAGTTTCAAAGGCATATTTGGTACACTAAATTGGACTTAATACAAAAGAACATCATGAACATGCACAAAACTTATCGATTATTTTTCGAGTATAGACTATCAAGCTTGCCAATCGACCTTCATTGTGAGCATTAGTAGACATTCCCCTGATACTCAGTACATACTAAAATAAAAATATATCATTGTATCATTATTCACGTAGAATCGAGTGCATGAAACCAAAAACAATAAACCCGATGATATATCCAATGGAACCCATAACTATAAGAATTCTGACCCACGAGTAGGATATAAATGCCTTCAATACAAAAGCATTCCACAACCAGTACCAAAAAATGGAGAAAATCGATCCCAAAACAGCTCCCACGGCGACTTGGCTAATTGTATGGAATTGTTGTGAAACCCGTAGCCATGACTGCAAGCAGAAACACTCGAAAATAAGTATTCTTTATGAAGAATATTACACTTTCAAGAAGGTAATCTGTCTCTTATCCTTAATGGCCCAGCAAATATACAAGATAACAAACTAAGCTTATAATTAATAAGTTGGCTACATGCCAACCAAATGACAACACCTCCTAGTTACGGAAATCATAAAGATTGTTTTAGTTCTTAGACTGAATAGACCAGCAAGTATTACAAATCACTAAATAATATAACACTGCAAGCATGTTAGAATCCCTGAATTCAATTTAACAGCTGTGTACTTACAAAATAAGATCCAATTGCAAAGACAAGAGCCCCCAGGGCTGCTGTAAGTGCATTAATCCCGTAACATTCAACCACTGCAACGGAACACAGGAACTAGGCATCAAACATCAAATACCGAATGAAGGTGTGATGAGCAGAAACAAATTAACTTATATAGAAGAATTAACAAAACCTATGCCTTGTTCCTAATATTTAATCTGCTATATGAAGTTTTTTTCACCATTTTATGTGATTAAGTGTTACTGCTACTTAAGGTCCAATACGCTTATATCTTATTAATGAGCAATAGTCAAAGTTAAAGAGAAGTTATAAACTAAAGCCAAATGTACTGTAAGATGATCAAATGTAAACCAATTAGTCTTCCACGACAAGAGGAGGCATAATATTTGGATGTATAATGAGCAATAATGGTAGCATGAATTTAGAAACGGTTGAGAAGATTAGGGGTATATATAACAAACTACTTACATAAATAAACAGAAAAATTATATATCAACAAAATATAAGAAAGTCAAAGGTTTTGTAAGATAACAAATGCGAAAAACTGTTAAACATACATGCACAAGGTTAAAGAACTTTCATAATCAGAACAAGCAAAAAAATTTACTGAGTTTTCTTGTTAACTATCACACTGAAAAATGATGTAATTAATGAATTATTGCCAAACTGTAACATCCCGAATTTTTACTACTAGCTGTTAGATTTAAAATTAGGACTTAAGTGTTTTGTTATTAAAGTCTAATGGTTTTATTAGTTATTGACCTAGTTAAATGACCTTATTGGTTACTAGCCAATAGTTTGAGGACCTAAGTGGAGAGTTAATTTGCAAATTCGATGAAATCATGTGTGAAATATACGTAAATATGTCAATTAGTCATGATTAAAGATGATTGATTCAACCACATGCATTATTCACACCATATTTTAAATCAATGTAATTGATTTGACCACATAAACAAAGGTAATTGATTTGATCATGTGCATTATTTTCACCAAGTTTCAAGCCAAGCTAATAAATTTGACCACGCGATTAAAGGTATAGATTTGACAACTTTCAAAACAATGCACCATTTATGCATTGATCAGGCCTAACATCTAGCCATTCCCTTTAACTTTTCTACACATGGTTCGAGATACACTACAAATAAGAGATAAATCTAATACTAGACTACTCTTGACCAACTATTTACACACTCTCCTTCTCTATTTCTATCAATTTTTTTCCACCTTTACTCTTTTTCTTATCATTTTCATATTAAATATAGTCGTACACAATCATACAACCTCACACGCAGCTCAAATATCTCTTCCAACAATCACTTCTTTTATCATTTTGAATTGTCCAGTGAAAAGTAAGTGTGTTATTACATTATTCAGTGAGTAATCCTATATATGTTATTTCATGGCTATGTTAAGTTATGGTCTGTATTATGTATAAGATTTGTATGGACAAACTATAGTATAGTAGCGCTACGCACAAAAATTTGGTACTATCAAAGTTAGGTCCAATTTTCTTGTCTCCCTATGCAAGTATGAAATTTTCCATGACATGCATATACATGAATAAAATTTACTCTCTCACTTATTGAGATTTTATCTCACATTATATTCGTTTTACCCTTTTCAGAAAATCAATGGTTCGAGGCGGTCGATGCGAAGATGAATGCCGTTGTGAGATATTTAAAATAACTTACATGAAGTTACGTTGGATTTTATTTAATTTATGTTGAATTCATTTCAAGATTTTCTTATGTTTATTATCAATAATATTAAATCTTAATTATTTTTATAAAAATCCTATTTAGTCATTTCAACCCTTTTATTTTTGTTTAATTTAAATTTAGTGACACTCAAATTCTTCAGGATCCGGGTTGTCACACAAACTATCAGCATGTTTTGCTAAGATTAAAGTTTTCTTTTATGTAAATAAGTAAGCTCTAAAATAAATATCTTTTAGTGACCGAAGTTGAAAGTAAGTTAATTCTTAAAAGTAACTTATATATCCCAACATCTTTTGATAAGTGAAAAGTTAAACAAGATTAAGAATGGTTGGAAATAGTTACTTGACATATTGATAAATGCCACTGCATAGAAGATGGACTGTGCATGCGAAGAAGGCATTCCAGGGTCGGCTCTTAAGGTAGAAGTCGGCCTTTCTTGGTTTAGCATAAATTTCAGTGCCACTGAGAGTGTAGTATTAAGCGCAACGCCCACGGCTACCCACGTTGTTTCAGCATCATGCCTCCAGAGAATGAGAGCCATAAAAAACACCGACACAACCCACTTACTCTGCACCAAGGAAAATATCCCAGTGAAAATCTTAATGAAAGAGCAATTTAAAAAAAAAATGGTTATTTTGAAATCATTTATGAACACATAGCATTAAAAGTTATTGAGAAATGTGAAAAACCACCAAAGCAGCATATGCATATATATGCACTTGCATATTAACTAATGCTTAGCAAAAGGAAACAACTTTAATGGGAAGAAAAAGCAAAAGAGAACAAGCTCAAATGCAAGTTAATGGAGATATGAGATTATATGTAACTATAGTTTCACCATTTTGATATTCTCAGAATATTCAGCAGCACAAAGAAATGTGAAGGTCAATCTTAATTCGTCGCAAAAATTATACTAACTTACTTCATATTTGATACTAACTTATTACTGGTGAAAGTGATATTTCGTGGACTATATAAATCCCTTCTTTTTCTTGAAAAAATTACACTGAAATCCTTTTATAACTTCCGTAATTTGTGAAAAAATATGAATCTAGTATTATTATTTGTTTTTAAGTTATTGTTCATGAGAGGAAAATTCTGAAAATCTCTTGTTACACAAGTGATTCAATTTTATTTATTTATTTATTTATTTTTTATCACGGGAAAACCCGCATCCGCTACCCTTCGAGTACGTATTGGGTAAACCCTCGGTTTGACGCAATAGCTTGCAAACCATGCCAGTCAGGTAAATCACACTCGACAAGTGATTCAATTGTTTTTATTTTCGGAGTAGTTGTCCAAAGAAGTCATAACAATTTATGAAAAGCAATTTTAGCTTATGATATCATGTTGTGACAAGTCTCGATGAATAAGTTTTCTTTTCTACATTTTATTTTACTACTGTTGTCCCCATAACTATTTGTCCTACAGGATTTTCAAGACCAATAAGCTCGGATTGATATATCATTAATTATTTTCATTATTTCTTAATTTTACCACATGATAGGTAGACAGAGGGTTAGTGGACCAGAGAAGGAAATGATAACCAATTGATTAAATTATGATCTAATTGATGATTTAAGAGAAATGATTATTAATTGATTAAATTATGATCTAATTGATGTTAAGCTCTTAAATCAACAATTCTACATCAATCCAACTAAAGTACTGACACAGGAATAACTATTGAGTTTTTGTGTGTGTTTTTTGAAACAATTGTTAATTCTCTTCCATCAATTTCCAATAAATATAAGTTTGAATTCAGAACAATTAAATTTGATAACTGATCAATGCATAAACATCCCATTCAAAGTTATTCAACGGTGTAAAATGTCAATTAAATATAGTAATTTTACTCACCAACTGATTGAGAGTAGCTTCAATTCCACCAGCTCCAAAATTTGCAGACCCTTGAACGGAATCTTCTCGTTCGAAACCTTCAACACCATCCCCACTAGTAAAGGTAGGAATTCTAATCGGGTCAATCATCTTATTTTGACTCCGATCTCTACAATTACAAACACAAAAACTAGATTTCTGGGATTTGAAGTCCAATTTCGTAGCGAACATCCTAATGGGCTTGTGAAATTCTCTTGATTGGAAAGTAATAACAGTAGCAGTAGGTCTGATGAAAGTAGCAGAGGTGAGTAACATTTTTCACGGTGTTGTTTATTCGTTTGCAATTCTGTAGCAGAAATCTGTGAGGATTGGATTGAGGACTCTGCATATCAGAAAATACAAACTGTCAGGTGAAGGGGACGAGTTTTCAAAAATGGCAAAATCAAAGTCAACGCGTGGTAGTACTGTTATGAGGGCCATGCTACTGTGACAGCGGCCTTGGGCCACATAGGCGCCCTGTCACAGGGCCTTGACAGCCCCTGTTTATTTAGCATTTCTCATTGTGGAAAAAAAAAGGTTGAATCTCAATCTTGAGGTATTCATCACCCCGTTTTTAGAACTTTGTGAGAAAGGTAAATCGCGAGATGTGCTCCAACAGGTCAGGAAACAAGAGTTGCCTGTACACTGCGCCTACAAGGAACCCAATTCCATGTCTCAGGAATCGAACACACACACTGCGGCTATCAGCAAAGCGTAAGATAACCTCACTCCTGTCCTTTGCACTACTGGACTATGCCTCGGGTGACGCATTTCCCATTGAAATCTACATTTTAATTTATATAAAACAAGAGTTTATACTCTCAACAAGAAAAATTACCTATAATTCGAGACGAACGAAAAAGAAAAATTTATGAGATGGAGCGAACAACACATTAGATTCGACAGGTTTTAAGTTTTTGGGCCTAGAAGAAAATATCCCAATCCAGCACAAGGTTTCCAAAACCCAAACATTATCCAAAGAAGCAATCCTAATGGACCAAATACAAAACAGAAACCCAAACCCAAACCATTTTTCTAAGGGAAAATTACATCTATACAGGTATTTAAATATTGAAATTCAAAAATAAGGTTCAAAGCTTATTTATACAAAAATTGGGTAACAATTTTATACTTTAATATATATAATAATATTAATAAATTTCAATTATAAACTCTCACCCTATTCCATCAACCTAATTAAAAATCTAATTATTTTCTCGCCATACCTTTCCTCTTCTTCCCATCCTCCCCTTTTCTCCCCCCCCTCTCTCTCTCTCTCTCTCTCTCTCTCTCTCTCTCTCTCTCCCCATCACACACGATCGCCATCGTCGAAGACCACAACAAAGCTCTTCGTTGTGAATAGCCGTCGCTTCGTGCAATTCTAGCGTCGGCACCTCTAAGCATGAATTCGTGGTTTTACCATTACAAACGGATTGCAGCAATTCGTGGTTTCGCCAGCGTTGTTGCATTGCTTGGCTTGTGCGTAGATGTGGTAACAGTGACTACATGTTCCGATATGCTTGGTTCAAGCATTACCAATAGACGATTCCAAGTTGAAGCTAGTGGGTCAACACATGTATGGGATTTCAATGTTTGATAAGGAGGTGGTAGTCTAGGTATTTTGATATGTGGGTGGTTATCTCATGTACAGGCGACGGTTGTGTGGTGGTGTGGTGTAGGCGACGATTGTATGGTGGTGGTGATTTTGAAGTTGTTTTTGGTGGTGGTGTTGTATCTGAGGCAGATCTATGTGTGGTGCAGGTGACGGTCACATTGTGGTGGTGGTTTTTGTTATCATTGTTGGCAGTGGTTGTGGTGGTGTTATGGCGAGGAGGATCTATGGGTATGGTTATCTGATGTGCAGGGGGGTGATTGTGTAGTGCATACGTCGGGTATGGTGGTAATCGTTTTTGTTGTTGTTGGCGATGGTTGTAGACCTGTGATGGTGTTGTGGCGGGAATGGATTTGTGGATAGTGGTGTGGTGCAGGTGACGATTGTGTAGTGGAAGTCCTTTTTGTTATTGTTGTTGGTGGTGGTTGCGATGGTGTTGTGGCATAGTGGGGTGGGTGGGTGGGGTGGGATAAATTGTGATCTTAAAATTTGTGATTAACTATTAAATTGTGACCTTAAAATTTGATAATTTATAACTAAAAAAATAATTTGTGACCAATAAATAAACTGTCGCCTATAAATTTTTTGATCCGTGCCCACAAAATAAATTGAGACTTATAAATTTTTTTATTTGTGCGTGGGTATATTACGTGATCAATTATTTTGATAATATATGACCAATAAATAAGTTGTGACCATAAATTGTATAATTGTGACCTTATTACATTTAATTAATAAATAAATACCCGATTTTTACATTTTTTTAATTTAAGAACTGAAAATTGAGTTGGTGATACTTAGTACCCGATTTATGATTTTTTCCATGTCCTAAATCCAATATCTTTATCATTAATTAATGGGAAAATTAGGCCTAATGCCCTCTTAAACTAAGTAAATTGAATAATACTATTTTAAAACTAATTAAACCATCCAACCCATAACTAATGTCTTAAACCTAAAACCCAATCTTCATTCAATACAAACCCATTCCTCAACGTAAAAACACTCTCCTCTCTTAATGATTTTTCTCTATCCATTTTCCACCGTTTTTGTCTCCGTCCATTTCGCCGCTTTCATTTGTCTATTGTTTGCTTATTCTTCTATTCATACTGTTACGCTCCTATTTGAACCGCCTCGGAATTCCCGTCATCACACATTCCGACCTGATAAACACCCATCCAAAGTGTTTTCGAAGTGATCCCACCAATGTCAACGACCTGATAGCGCACTGAGAGACATAGACGATCCTCCTAAACTGATCGAAACGCCCTCATCCCTGAGGGCGAGCGAAGTGCACCTCTATCAGAAGATCCGTCGCCAATTTCAGAAAGAGATTTTTGCCAAGATCCTTTGTGCATCTAAGGTTTAAATTGATTTGATATCTCCATGAGACTAGTTGATGTGACTTATCAACCTTATGTCAACTCAACTCAGGAGAAACAAACTGCCCGCCCACTTTACAGACGCGGCTAATTGACGCCTATGAGCGGACGCCTCATACCGTCAAATTCATACACGTGTCCCACATCCAACGGTTCATCCCACCTATAAATACCCAAGATGTGGTAAGAGACAAAAGTAATGAAACTCTTATTACATAGCACTCCATAGCAAATTTATATATTTTCTCCTCCCCTTATTATTATTTTGCACAACCCCTGGGTACTGTTCCGACCACCTAAACCTGATTTGACCGTCTGAGTGTATACGGCCGCCACCACCCCCGCTGGTCCTGGCCGTGTGTGTCTGAACGTGCGTTGATTGTGCGCAGGGAGGAATACGTGGAGTAGCTATCGGTTGGCACGTGGAAGGTCCAATTTTCGAGGTCAACAGATTGACGACGTCTGTAGGAAACACTTCCCATTAAAAGTTCTGCATTCTCCACCAGAGAAATCACCGAAAAACTTGCGACTAACCCTGAAAAGGGTAAGTTCTTGAAAAAGAACAAAGTCGAGTTATAATCCAAATTCTCACCACCCTTGAAAAAGGAGATATGATGAGTTATAGTCATGAAGACGACAACCTCATGAGAGAGGCCTCTAAAGAAGAGGTGCTCCATAACAATGTCACTCACCAGAGACCCTATCATCGGCGTCGCTGAGGCGCAAGAACGGCCATGCTCACTGAAGGTATGGCTCAAATAGCGGCGGGCATGAGAGATATCGCAGCTCAGAATTTGGCGATGCATGAACTTCTCATGCAAGCCCAGAGTCATCAGGGCTATCAAATGCCCCAAGGATCTTATCCGGTGCAGGAAGCCCCAGTATCTCGCTCCCGAGGCCATATGAGCCGGCACACAGAACGCCCATTCGAAAGAGAGATGGACGCCGAAGCCACATCTTATGTGCAAGGGAACCAGCCATCAGAACCACACTTGGGAGACAATTTCCCTCAAGAACATGAGGAACAGAGGTCGGTAAGCGTCTTCAACCGGATAGAGGAGGGTCCTAGCAATAGGTTTCGCCCAGTAAGAGGATCAGTTCGTCCAGATCACAAACAAGAACATGCTCCCCCTCTTCCTAGAAATAGGAGAGATAGGAGGAACCTAGTAGATTGGGGGAGTCGAGGAGAAGCACCTCCACCTCCCCAGAACATTTAAGATGATGAAGGGTCAGATGGGCCCTGTCGATCTTATGAGATTGACGATGATGATGATAACCTCCCTTTCTCAAAGGAGATTCGAAGCTTCCTAATGCCAGCAAATTTCATGCTCCCTAAAATCCCCAAGTATGAAAGAAAGGGGAACTTGGAGAAGCACCTCACCAAGTACATGACACAGATGAGTCTAAGGGGAGCCTCACTCACCTTGAAATGCAGAGCCTTCCATTTAACACTAGGCGGAGCTGTCGAAGTGTGGTATAGCAGGCTTCCTCCCTTAAGCATTAGAAGTTGGCCAGATTTGAAGAAAGCATTCTTGAACCAATATCTCTCACGCAGAGAAGGAGAGGCACCACTGCAACGCCTGCAAGATATGAGGTAGGCCCTTGGGGAGACGCTGAAAAGCTATCTCGCCAGGTTTACAGACGAAATCACCTACTGTAAATAGGTTATTGACAGAGAAGCCCTTTCAGCCCTGAAAGGCGGGCTCAACATGAACACTTTGTTCTAGAGGGACGTGCGCAACAAAGATTCTCTCCACCTATGACGAACTGATGGAAATGATGAGAGTGAAAATTGTAAGTGAAGAAATGATGAGAGTGAGGGACTCCCTCCACCTCAGAGGCAAGTAGGTCGAGGACCCGCAGCACACCTTGTTACTCAGTAATGGACTCAAGCAGGTCATACAATAGCTCCCATCTCCGGACAGGCACTGGCTTCGGCCACATTGAATGCAGTGCCGGTGTTGGCATATGAGAATGCTCCTGCCAAAGCGGGACAATCCGGAAGAGCTGATAATAATAATAATAATAATAAGAAGAAAAAGAAGAAGAAGAAGAAGAAAAGGTCAAACAAATCCTTGGAGGGGGCAAGGTTTTGTACGTTCCATTAACTGTATGGGCATGACACTAGTGAGTGTCGAGACGCCAATCGACACCCTGATCGAAGCAACCCACACCCTTCTAGCAGGAACGAATATCTTCGCAGATCTGCCTCCCCGAGCAGGGGAGAGAGAGGGCATAGAGAGCAATCACCTTAGAGAAGAGAATCAAGGGGCCGAGGTCAATCTAGACAGAGAAACCAGACCCAATTTTCTGGGAGCCAGGTCATCAGGGAAATCGATACCATCATTGGGGGACCCCACGTCGGTGGCAACATTAGGAATGCCCAAAGGAATTACATAAGTGAAGCAAAGGACCTGCC